TTTTTTTTTTTTTTTTTTTTTTTTTTTTTTTTTTTTTTTTTTTTTTTTTTTTTTTTTTTTTTTTTTTGGATTTCCTCTTTTTTACTTTCTGACTACTCTCATCCCTGATTATTATAGATTCTATTTTGAACATTAAATAATAATATGCAAACAAAAGCTTGTTTAATTAGTTCTCTAGTTGAAACCTTCATTATCAATAAAATCAGATTTAAAAAAATAAGAAATCATAACCTTAAGAATATACTCTTAAACAATATTGTGTTGGGGAAAAAAAATTTGACTTGACTTAATGTTCTACAAAAATCAGTTGGTTTATCTCGTGCCAACCCTACTCTTAGCAATGGAATAACCTTATTTATAGAGAATAGAATAAACCTTAATAGAATTTTTTAGAATAACCTTTAATAATAAAAACAATCTGTATCAGAATGGGTGTTTTTCCAGTTTATTGCTTGCTTAAACATTTAAAATATGTGTTACTTCAAAGTGGACATAAAATGAAGCTTCATTTATGTTAATATATATATTAAGCTTCTTTTTTTTTTTTTAGATGTTTTCTATAATATATTTTTTTATTATTTCGAAGATAGACTTATGGCGTACTGTCTGCAGAAAGTTCCAATATTTTGAGAAAAATTTCCAAAGATTTAGATTGTAATCTAACAATTAAATTTTAAAAAAATTCTGTTTTAATACATTTATTCCTTTCAATTTTTTTTTTTTTCATTTTTCAAGTAGTATTAATAAAACAATTTGAGTTTTTGTGTAACATAAATTTTATTTTGGTCTGTAATTTTTTTTCATCCACGGTGTTAGACTATAATACCTTCTTGCAGTTAGTTTTTGGTCTTATCTTTGTGTAAAAAAAAGAAACAGTGGCTTTTCATTTTGTGCTACTTAGTTGCAGTGTTGTAACTAAAATAGATTCAATATATATTAATATTAAAAATCAGGAATTTAAAAATATTGTAAACATAATACGCACATTTTATGCAGAAGATTATTAAATGTCAATCATAAATAAAAAAAATATTGCAGTCAATTTGAATTTATTGTTACTAATAATTTTTGCTATTGACTAATATTTTCAGCTTGACATTATTCTAGATATTATGTATGAAATTTGAATAACGTTTATTTCTTATGATCTGCGATATATAGATTATAGGGTATGTTTGTGTTAAAGGTTTGTTAACCTTGTTTGTTCTACTTGTGATTCTTATGTTTATTTGCTTGTTTGCAGGGCAAAATTGTAGAGTGTGTTCACTGTGGATGCAGAGGGTGTTCTGGATAAACTTTTAACTTGAAACAATTTTTGTATATAATATTGTTATTGTAAATATTTCAAACCAATAAAAATCTTGAAATTTTCATGGGACTGATAATTTTTTTTTAACCATTTTTTATTTATTTATTTTCATTTGAAAAATATCTATCATGTTCAGTATCATCATTAATAAATAATGAATGAACACATATTTCTTTTTGTATTAGTAATACTTTTTCTATAAATATAATTTTAGTTTTTTTCAAAAATTTTATAAAGATTTTTATAACAATTATCGATAAATAAGTTGGGCTCATTCACTATATAATCGCAAGATGTTTAATAATTGTGTATTAAAACTTTTTCTACTGTTATAAATTTAATAAATCTTACAAACCACCCTGACAAGTTTTGTCATTTTAGTATAAAAACTAAATTTTACTTTCAGGTAATTTTGAAAATAAGAAGAAAAAAAAATTTGAAATTATTTTTAAATAAAATTGTTCAATAAACCAAATCAAGTATTGAAATGTAAATGCAATTTTTTTTTTAATTTATATGAAATTCTCTTTAGTTAATTTCAAGCAATAGTAAGTTACAACAATGATTCCTCAGAGCTGTCCAACCTCTAAGTCTAAAATAGTGATTTTATTAGTCGATGTTAATTAATACTAACACAAGACAGATTATTTGTACTCTAACAAAATGAAAAGTGCCAAATCTTTACATAATGATATGTACTGTTTTGCATTTTCAAAATTAAAGTAATTTTGTCAAAAAGCATGCCGATCCAAAATTTCCATTTGGAAAAAAGTCTGAACTATTTAAGACTATTTTTCGAAATCTCTGTCGTCACAAAACTTTTTTTTAACTAATAATATGACATTTTATAACTGCGGTGAAATAAGAACAGTTATTCACAACTGTTAGTTCAAGTTTATCCTACCTTAACCAGCGTCTTCTATCCTAATTTTAAAAAAGGTCAACATGAAGAAAAACCCCAGTTTCATGAAAATGAAAGGCATTAACAAGTTACTCCTCTGCTGCATTATCTGGGCTTCTAAAAGTTTACTAAAATTCCTTTAGATAAATTTTATCTAGTCTAAAATTCTTGCCAATTTTCATAAAAGTTTAATAGCTCTTAAGGTATTTAAATTATTTGGAACGTTCTAAAGCCCAGATAATTCTATGTTTCGAGATGGTTTGTGTTGTTTAAAATTCAATCTTTGCCTCGAGTGTAAAACGCATTTAAATTGTAGCTTTTTCTTGATGTTATTTTATAGAAATGTTCTAAATAATCACTCATGCATCTCTACTTCACTATTATATAAATAAATTTAAAGTAATTAAGAGAATTTTAAACAAGTAGTGTTTTATTAATAATAATAAAAAGTTATTGTACTGAATAGTTTCATAGGCACCATTCTATTCTCTATAATCTCAAAATTCAGTTTGAATTTTCATGACTGTTAACTAATTGGTAGGAGTAATTTAAAGAGGAAAGTGAAATGAGTGTTATTCTTAAATTAAATTGAGTAAAAAGAATGACTAAAATAAAGAATGGTAAGGACTCTTAAAATTCTGGTTTTAAAAAGTTGCAAGTGCAATATATAAATATATGAAATAATAAAATTTCTAGAAGATAATTTTCATAGCATTTTAAATGTGTATTATTTATTATTGCCTGTTTTTCTGTTAAAATGGTGAAAGAGATGTTCCTGTCCTATAGAGTCATTGTTCTCTTACTCATAATTTTTTTTAATATTAAGTTCTAGCCCAAGCAATAGTGGAGCATACTGAAAAAAGAAACCCTGATCAACCATATATAATTTTATAAAATTATCCGTAGTTTTATAAATTATAACGACATATTTTTTTCTTTTACTTAACTTAACATTTATAACAATAAAATGAAGAGTTATGAGTGTGTGCGTCTCTCTTATAATGCCAGAATCGTTTGTTCTATCATCTTGAAATTTTGTTAGCAGGTACAAAGGGCAAATTTAGCCCTCGATCTTGAAATTCCATTAAATTTTATTCCTATAAGCGGGTTATTAGATTAGATTATATCCGATTTGCAATTAAGTATACACACACATCTTCTTGATTTATTATAAAATGCATTTTTTTAAATGAATAAGTGTTTTGAAGTTATTTTGCACATTGGAAATTGGTAAACTAGAAAAAAGAAATTTGACTTTTTATGACAGTATATTTTCGAGGATTGCTCTTTGCCAAAAATGATTAGAAAATAAATCGCTTGAAAAAATTCTTATATTATTACACATAATAACTTATTACGTATTTTCGAAACTCACAGACATCCAAGACAACACAACAGTCTATTTCATTAAAAAATTCTTTTGTCGGACACCAAAAATGCCTCAAATTTGAAATCCATTCACGTATGCATACCTCAAGTTTGGCATAGAGCAGCTACTTTCGGTTTTTATAAAAGATGACTTTACTTTCAATCTAATCCTTATAGCTTTAGATAATACATTCTAATTGTGAAAATGAATATCGTTTACCATTTAATAATGTGCATTTTCTATGTACAGAGCTCAATAATAATTATTAATAAACGGAACTCGGATTTTCACATTCTAAAATTCAATATGGTTCGAAGGAGTTACTTCATATATGCTAACTAATTGATGCAGACGATATTTTACACTTTAAGAAATCAAACATAAATATCGGATTGTTGACATACAAAATATTAATTGCAATCGGGGAAAGATGGTCCTCTAAGTCTGAACAAGCGAATCACAACATTTTGCACACAATTATAAAATCCGTATATCCAATGGTAGTTTCATGCAAAAAATAATTTTCAGTAAATATTTTTTATTATTCTATTTAATAGTAATCGAAACAAATATGAATTGTAATTCAACAATTTTCTTACATTATTCTAAAGAATGAATTTTACATGATAATATACAAAATGTGAGCGAAATCGGTCAAATAGTTCGTGGGAAATCGAATTTTAAATGTACGACTTTTTTAAATTTTTATTTCTCTAGAAAATATTCAACCGATTTCTTTCAAAGTTTGCATTTGGCCATTTAAATCTGCATGCTTTAAAATATTGTGAAAAAAAAAAATATTTATACCTTTCTATTCAATATTTTTTTTAACTGTTATTAAATAAAATAATCAAAAATTATATGTATTTAATAAAAGTTATTATTTACATGAGATTGTAGATAAACGAATTTTATAATTGTGTACAAAAATTTTTTCAATTCGCTTAAAAAAGTTCTCGAGATGTAACGAAATACGAAAAGAAAATTTAAATATATAAAATAACATTAAGGGGACCAAACTTTGGACCTCTCTCCTGTCTAAACTACCGGTTTATGGTTATGTGATTATTCAGAGAAAATACGTTTTTCTGTCTCACTTTGTTACTTAAAATATCGTCTGCAATAATTAATTAGCGTATTTGAGGGTAATCCCGTGACCCATTACTATGGATTTCTAGAGGGGAGAATCCAATCATTAGATTGGAAGTTAATCAGCGTAATCCATTTTTCTTCGGCACAATTTCTTAAACACGCATTTTGAGCTCTATCCTTAATAAAGAGCTCACAAGAGTATTTCTTACAATTCTACCACACATCCATTGTTTGATTCCAGTCAAACTAACAAGACCACCTAGATTCTTTATCTTGGGTGGTCGTGTGATCTATGTTCTAAAAGTCAGTCTACATTGATAAGCAAAAGCGTATATTACACTGTCCTAAGGAAGTCAGATATCCATTCAATGATGGATTCACAATACAAAGAGTATAACAATCCATTATCTGTTATTCTTTTCTGCTAAATTTTAGTCACTTCCAGCGATTTATTATCAAGCATCTGGTCATTCTATTTACCTAGAAATATACAATAAATGAAAAATGGCTGATCTTAACTAGGTTAATATTTTAAATTCATTTTTCCATTTTTCATGTATTATTTTAAATAGTTTGTATTATTACCCTTAAAATAAATTTGTATAATTAAGTTACTTTTTTAATTCTTATTAACCCTTTATAAGGCAAAGGGTATGCTTCCCACCCACCAACAGTTTTTCTCCCTTATCTATGATTTATGCCGCAATCTACTGTTCTGCTGATAACTTCAAAAGAAAAAACAATGAACCGTTTTCATAAGTGTGGGTAACAACGAAGGTTTGCGTTCGGTCAAGAATTGAGACCAACACAGGAGGGTTATTTTCCAGAGTCAGTTATGCGCGATGACTTTTTATCCATTTAATTGGTAGCTTTAAACGCTTCATTTATTTTAATTTTTTATACCTTGTGCTTTATCATTAAAATTAAATTAATATGATAAAGTTAATTCTCCTTTTTTTGTATTCTGCAAATTTATATTCATGATGAAATTCAAATCTATGTCAGAATCGAAATGTAAATCACCAATTGTTCTTGATTCAATACGTTTTTGAGGAGCGAAAAACCATTTCATGCCATTATGATTAAAGTGTATCTTTAAGATTTATTGCTCAGCATTAACAATAATAATAAAATAAGGAGTAATAATTTCAAAATTCATTGACTCCTCGTGTAGTAAACGGTGACTGATGCACTTTAAATCTGTCGAGTCACAAAGTCCACCATGATCCAATAACAAATCAATATCTCTGGGGGCACTGATCCAGGAGTTTCCTTCTCTTGACAATTTGATTATTAATAAATTATTTAAAAATAAACAAATTTTTAGTTTAAAAGGTTAAAAAAAAATATTTATTTAAGAAGGTGATTATGCACCGTCCTTCGACTATTTAGCATCTGTTCCTAAGGATCAAAATTCTTTTTTACTTTACTTTATAGTAAAAATATATATTTAATACTTTCATGTGATATGTTGCAGTTTTAAATACCTAAAAGATGACTGAAATTGTCAATTAAATAAACAATCAATACTTTTGAACATGAATTTAAATAACTCCATTCGTTTTTTTTTTTTTTTTTTTGCTATCTCATTTTATATTATAGCAGTATTTAGAGCAGACAGTTGCTTGTAGGTGTAGATGATATAAATAAAAGCATACGAAAAAAAAAATTCAGTTAATGCCCTCAATATTATATTTTTA